AAGGGGGGGGGGGGGCCGTTTTAAAGCTGCGCGGTAAAACAGTGGGTAAGGCTTGGTTCGTAAGAATGGGAATCGACGGTAGGGTGAAATTAAGCATCGCTTTCGTGGGAATTCGGTTAACCCCGTACCAATCCACGAGAGCGGCCATAAATTTCATCGCAGTCTAGGAAAACATCCCAGGGGTAGACACCCCTTTCGAGTCAAGTATTAAGGGCTCGCACCAGCGACAGCACAAAGGTACACTTAGCTCCAGGTATCTATCTATATTTCTACGTAAATCTATACGTGTTCATCCCTTCCACCCCGCACTTCCGCGGCCACACCAGATATGTATTGTGTGTATATATATATATATACAGTACATAAATCAGTTCACTCACCGATCTTGACTTCCGGTGGCAGCGCCTTGACGGTTAAGCTCAGATGGACGAGCTGAAGTACGAACACGGAGGCTAGCAGGTAGCCCAGGCCCCCCTTCATAGCTCATCTCGACGAACCACCCCCTATCCACCCCCCAGCCACAAAGTACCCACTGATCGCCAGAACCAGCACCGGGACCACCGGCGCCGCCGCCGCCTCGCACAGCCCCCACCGACCTACCCCTTCAGGGTCTGAAGCTCGCTAGCCCTACATCAACCTGAAACACAAAGGGCGAAGAAGGCATATTGAATTATTATGGGCAGCGATTCGGAACGGAAGTACTCCGATTCCTAAGAGGGCTGTAAGTCGTTAAGTTAGGAACAAGAGATGATGAGCTAATTTACGAGGCCTCCATGCATTAAAGGGAGGCTCCGTTCTACCCTTAACCCATGTGCTCGTAGACTTATTAAGAGGGTGGAATTGCGCAATTTGTCAGAGGGGGTAGTTTTATCCACCCTTGAAAAAAAATGTGCAAACCGATACCGAGAGGGGCATTATTTCTATGCGTTTCGCTAATTAAAAGTCTCCCGGGACAAGAGGGTTTTGACTAATAAATACCAAGAGGGGTGGTAGTCAATGCTCAAGTACTAAGGGATGAAATGGCTCGAGTGGCAGCCGCGCACATACCTGCTGCACATTGGCGACGTGAATCTTTTCTTAAAAGTCTCTACAGCACCGAGGAGGAAACGAGTGGCGGCGTTGTATTCGGATAATATTTAACCCCTTCGCTGCCGGGGGTTCAATGTACCGAGCCGGCGGGTTAATTTTCTTTTCAAACGTTCGACGTCCTCCGTCGCCATTCCTTTCGACGATCTTTGCATAATTACGTGTTTACGATTTGAATGGTTGTCATCCCAGCTACCCTATTTCCTACCTATTTCCTATCCTCTTCATTCTCATTCGACTTAACGTATCCTCCAGCATCTTCCTCGAACCCTCTCAACATTTTCTTCTACTCCTTATATCACCCTTCATTTCCCGTGGGGAAACTTTTCTCCTACTAGTTATGTACGTTGTCTCCTCGTTCTCTGTCTCTCTCTCTCTATCCTGGCAACGTTAAGGGGCAGTACAGAGAGAAAGCTGTATATAGGATCCCTTGTCAAGGGGGTTGTTTTTGTTCCCAGCTCGAAAGGCTATCCTCTATAAGCGTTTCTTGTCTCTGGAAAGACCCTCTACGAATTACACACCAAATTCTCCACATTTGGACCAAAGGGGATGAAACTTCTCCAATGCGCCCTTTCAACCCTACTATTCCAATTCGACTTCCGGCTGTCCCTTCGTTGGCCGCCGGTCTCGAAGAAGACTTAATTGATAGGAAAGTGCGTTATCGTTAGAGTCTATTTTGCGAAAACACCCTTGTTACTCAGGTTAAAGATATTGCAATTTCACTTCAATTCGAGAAAAATCCTCATCGAGAAAACATTTGATCACTGAGTCAATCAATTTTCAGGCCCTGCCTTGCATCGAATACCCTAAAGCGTTCAACCCCCCAACGGAGAAAGTCGCTTGAGAAATTTCCAATTTGCTGGTCGAAAGCGACTAAACTGTCGCGACAAGCTGACCAGGATTCATCCCTCGAATTTCTTTTGGGGTAACAGCAGGGAATGAGGGTAAAAGAAAAGGGACTGGCGAATTCAATTTTTAATGCCAAAAATGGTCTTTGCTTCCAATCGGGTCGGTATCGCAAATCGCGCAACGACTTTTCCAAACTTTTGTCGTTCAATGAGAATCACTCCGAAAACCTATCAGGGAAACTTTAAGTCGAGTAATTTAATTTACCGTGACGTCACTGCGCCCTTTACCTCTTTCTCAAAAATAATAATACGTGTACACAAGGTACCTGAAGGCTTCGTGCCAAATTCTATTCTCCGCTGACTTCGATCCAGATCGTTTCACCAATAGAGTGACTGAACGCAATACCGGATGTCGTCACAACCTAAAAGATACACCCACACACAAAAGTACATTGCGCCAGATTCAATTTTGTTTCCTACAATAAGTACGTAAAGAAAAACTCCAAGTATCTACTTAAATCGATTGAATTTCATCAAACAGTTTCTCCCCGGAAGTTCCTTCATGGATTTCAATAAATTTTTTCGAGCCATCCTGAAAGATTTAATATTGTGGTGAAAGTCGAAAGCCTCCATAACCCATGGGTCTGAGATATGCGTTATTGATTTTATAAGATCGTTTGGTATATTTCAAATCTAATTAAGAATTTCTTAGCCGCACCAGTTGCCTCCCAAGTTAGCTCGGTGCATTCTCAACTGAGTCCAATCAACCCTTAATTGTTTACTTTCCATTGGGATGCACCGTGGCTAACTTTCAACCCCGGTTAACGAGACGTCAAGTCATCCCTCAGTCCCTGAGCACCCTTGGAAAATCAATTCAAAGAGAAATCACATAGTAACGAGAATAACGCGATGCACATGCTCATTAATAATTTTCAACGGATTGAATGTAGATAAGAAATAACGATGTCAGTAGATAATCACATGTACCAGTCAGACTAGTTCTCCATACAATTCCCCACGTACTTACGTACCCAGTATACTCTCGTGGATATTGAATTATTTCAAATTTCCCGCCATCCTTTAAATCGTTTTCCTGCACTGTAACCGTGCACCGTATAGCATTGAAGTTACTTAGAAATTCCCCATTAAGGTACTTCAACCTTCTTTTCCAGATTCGTTCTTAAGAACTCTTAGCGTCTGAAACTTCCTCGCCGACGTCACAGAGCAAAGTTCACGCTATATATATATATATATATATATGTATACGTATCCAATTTTATTTCACAGTATCGCTCCAAGTCAACGTTTGAATACAGAGTGAAAGGTAGTAAAAGAAAATTCTGTAAAATCGTAAGAAAAAAAAAAAAATGTCAAACACATGAAACCTTCGACCAACCCTTAACCCGAAGGTTACAGTTAACGAGTATCGTGCATTGAAATTCTAACTTCTCCGCCACCCGCTAGATGTCCCTTTACGACCTGAGCCAGAGCAAGTTTGTATTTTCGCGAAAGCACGTACCCCGCGTAAAAGAATCCTTCGACTGGTGAAAAATACATATGTGTAAGACGTAGAATAGTTAATGTCGCGTGAGAGAGGAAATCGTCGAGCGATAAAAAAAAAAAGAGAGCGCGTGTACCACGTGCCGCGAAAGCGTGAAAATGACGCGGCGGG